TGCCTCCTTTGTATTTTCTTCAGCGCGTTTATTTGACTTCTTGATTCGAATCTTGTCTTCGTCAGCGGCAAATTTATGAGCAGGAGACCCAAGTTGAACTCCTAACGCATCAAAGACAGCTAATAGACCATTTGTACCTTCGTTAAATTGACAGGTAGCGATATATGACGCAATACCAGCTGACAGTGCACTGTCAAATCAGTTTCTTTGCTGTTAGGATTTTTTAGTATATTTTCAGAGATTTCTTCTTGACAAGCTTTTTTCATGAAAAATTCAGCTATTTGTTTAGATGCCAAGTATATGTTTTCTAGTATCTTTTTATAAGTAGCCTGCTTTACAAAATACGGCATATCCATCAAAGCACAAAACTTCGTAACACCTTTGAAACCAACACCTAGTAAACGCATTACTAATGTGATTYGTTGATTGAWTTCRTAGCTAGTTCCGATGTATGGCGAAGAAGKTATAAATTGAGTACCGCATTTTTGACATACTACAGYAAGATTAAAACCAAGGCCGTGTTCTTTTGCCACTAGAWAATTTATTTCTCCCTTACACTTTGTACAACTTACAATTGTTGAAAGAGTAGAAAACACTGTTAAAAAGTTCAAAATTCTGTATTCTATCATAGTATTTTTAAGTTCTTCATAGCCACTTCCAGTCTTCAGTTTTTTCGCAGATGCACTGATTCCGCTATCACAGGCCTTCGTGTCCTTTGGGTTGAAATACTGCTTCCTCTTTTTTGGCCGCGATATTTGCCCAGAATAACCACTTCTTGACATTCGAGTTATTTTATGTGAATACATTTTGTAAGAAAAATACACTACTACGTAAGAAAGCTACAGTAAAATTTAATGTTCGTACATCTCGGGGTTCTTCGTTCAATTGACGAAAAAATTCGATAGAATATTCAAAAAGAAAATAAAAATAAAGGAAGGAAAAAATATTAATCTTATCGTCTACGATAGCGAATTTAAATAGGAGATAAAATAAAGAAAGAATTACATATTATTTCTTTCGTCTACAATATCTCCATAAATAAAGGTCACATCTTTATGAAATTTTGACAGAATACTTTCGAAATGATATACTTTTAGAAAATGCAATAAAAAAAATCGATTCTTTTTTTTTTCTAAATGTATATCCCCCCTTAAGGAAAAAAAATCGAAACACATTTTCTAGATCATATTCAATTTATATATTTTCATTTCAGTAACTGAGAAAGGAAATAACCATTGTCTAATTTGAAAAATAAAACAACACATGGTTTTTCTCTTTTGTTTTTTTGGACGGGTTATCTTTCCACGTTGATAATCGTTTCTATGTTGATAATCGTTTCCACGTTTCCTGAACCTATGGCATATAACATAGGAAACAGCAGCAATGAATTATATAACAAAGCAAGAAATAATGAAATAAAAAATACTAAGAACCATAACCGAAACACTATGATTCATGCGAAATAAATATCTCTCACATTAGAAAAAAACTAAAAAGGAAACATTCGGTTGATTTATATGCATGAAAAATTATTAAAAAAAAAAAAACGATAACCCTAAAGATTACCACATGTTATTTAAATTGAACAAATAAAAAAATTTACCTTATGTCCACGAACAAATTCTAAAGAAGAAAATGAATATTAATAAAAAACAAAAAACGAAGCTTGATTTTAATGATCGACAGTGAATTTAGTGGACCATTGATTGAAATTGAGAATTAATTAAAAAATTAAATGATTTTATTGAAAGAATAAATTACAAAGAAAAGAATTTAATAAAAAAATAATAATAAAGATAGAAAATAACGTGATGATAATATGAGTTAATATAACGTGATAATAAAATCATGATAATTCCCTATTATCTCTTGTTATGCTCATTTAAAAACTCACGGATAACAACGTTGAGGAGTTATTCTAGAAATACGGGAATGATAATTAACAATTAATGCGTCGCATTTCTGTAACATTTAGTCACTTTTGCTATGAGATTTAACGCTGAAATTAAACCGAATTCAGCGAAATGACGGATCTTAAGTTTTCTTTTTCGGCTATTTGTGTTTGTAAATTAATCAAATTTAAAATAACAAATAAAATTTTTGTTTTTCTTTAGAATATATCTCAAAATAATTAAAATAGATTTATTTAAATGTTAAATGATGATCTATTATCTTTCTCTATTTTTTTCTCTTTGAACGTCAAAAACGAATAAGAAAAAGAATTTTTTTACTAATTTTTTTTTTCTTTCTAAATGACGAAGTCTTTTCGTTTTTCAGTTAATAAAATGAAACAAAATTTCGAGACTACGAAACTTGTCTTATGTTAGATTCGTATAAATATAGAATTCAGTATCTCTCTTTCTCTTTCTCTCTCTCTCTTTCTCTTTCTCTTGAAAATAAGTTCTCTCATACGAATTCTAAATCTTGTTCGTCTTAAAGTAAAACCCTGCCAAAATCTTAGTATGAAAAACCGCTTGTTTTCTTGTCGTCAATTTTTATCTATTAGTCTTTCGTAGAAAAGTAAAAAAGCTTTGGATAGTATGTAAACTGTTATGAGAGATATAATAGTTTATTATTTTTAGAAAATGATTTATTACGCCACATTTATTAGCTTACGTTTCTCTTTATATATTCGAAATGAATTATTTTTGTTTTTTTTTTCTTTATTTAAAATACAATTTCATTATATTACAGTATTTAAATTATATTACATTATATATCATAATTCGTTATATTAAATAAAAAAAAAAATACCGATAAAAAATGGATATTAAATTAATTCTGATACACCCTCACACACACGTTAACTAACATTAAGAATCTTACATAATTTCATTTAATTGTGGATTTTATCCCATTCTTTCACTCTTTTTACTTCTATACTCCCTTTCTTTAGATGTTCTTTCATAAAATTTTATCGTTACCGTTCCCTAAGAAGTTTCACTTCAAAAAAAGAAATCGATTGATTTAAAACAAAAAATTAGATCCTAGTGAAGAATAAAGTGCAATTGCACCTGACAGGTCGGTATCGGTGTTTCTATATTAAAAATAAGAAAAAAAAAAAGAAGTTAGGATTTATTATGTTGTATGCAATTTTCCTTTATCATTTCTTTACTTCTTTTATAAAGAAAAATAACTTGTTCCACTTCCAAAAATCACCCTGTAAATATTAAAACGAAATGATAGAAATTTGACATTCGGTCTTGTTCTTCAAAATGCAATACATTGATAAGATGGCAGTGCACTATCAGTGCACTAGTGACCTATCAGGTCAAGAGTAAAATCTTGTTGTATTGTCTTGATCTCTGCAATAATTCCATGTTGTCTCGTTCGTAAGTGCTTTCACGTGTTTTAAAATATAAAAATCTTACTTCTAATATTTTGAATAAAATCCCTTAAATGGTGAAAGAGTCGTTTTTATATAAAGGATTTGAAGGTATTTTAGAAGAAATCGTTGAATATGAAAATGGTTGTAGCGAAGATTCTGATTTTGTTAAAGTGCCAGATAGAGTGCGTTTAATAGGTTTCTTTTTATCATAGAATAGAAAAAAAACACAGTTAGATATAGTATATGTATAAATGATCATGCATTCCAGAAAATTGCAAAATATCAAATGATAGAAATAAAATAATATTCATGTTTAAATTAAATATCATTAGCATTTTTATCCTACAAATTTTACATAGAGTTTTCTTATCTTTAACGTTAACATACATAAAAGGTTTTTACGAAAATACTGTTGATAATAATTCATAGAAATGATATAATTATTTCAATAGATCTACGCATTTACATTACTTGGAAATTATTCTAGATAAAAATAAAATTTATTTACTTTGATAATAATATTTAACAATGTAATAAATTTAAATACAATAATAACCTTGAGACGAAGTAATAAAATAGTTTAGTACTTCGTCGTAGTCTAATGGACATCAGATTGTTATATATAATTTATTTTAAATCAGTGATTCTCAATTTACTGCATTTCACGGACTGCAGTCGAACAATAAGATTGTAAAAAAAATATATATACATAAATTTGTAAACTTTTTGTAGACCAATAGAACTTATCTATGGTACTAATGATGATCCGTAGATTACCGATTGAGAAACACTGTGTAAATGTCTCTTCGTATTCAAGTACAAATGTTATTCGACAATGTCTTATTACGCCATTGTCACGTGAGTATTTGTGTTAAGGTGAAACTATGATGACGATGAAACTTACCAATCGAAAGTTTGACTAGTTTGACTAGTTTTATAATCAAACGATAATAAGAAGAAATAAATTCCGAAGATGTTCTTTGAATTTTCTGGACCTTCAAACAATTGAAATTAATTCGTACAACAATTAATTACATTCGTTGATTTATACAATTTGTTTGTCTGTCTGTAAAAACATTTATTCGTCGTATGTCCCATAGGAATGTTTTTTTAAGTGAAAAAAAAAAACAGAAAAAAATATATTGACATTGATTATTAAAATAAAAATGTGTGTGGAATGTATCATCACGTGTAATATAACATTTTTGATCAATGAAACAAACGTGACAAATGGAACAAAAGCCCAAGGAACGACTAGTATTTCCTTGAGTACGTATGATCCCCACCTCTTATAATTATCTAAACGAGATAACATTGAATAAGACGAGGTATCACCGACTCCAATCTTCAGTGGTCTTTTAAACGATTTATCTCTATTGGCGTATTGAAGTATAGTGATTGTGTGCTACGATCGATATATTATACAGTAAAATTCCAATTTTCGACGATAAGGTCTACTCTTTCTTAAATATTTCTTTTTTTCTTTCAAAATGTCGACTACAGTGACGAGCGTTGCGTAACATTGTACCAAGGTTTCATACTTTTTCTTTATCGTATCGAATAAAACAACAAAGTTTATATGCGAAAGTATCGCGTGCACATTTTTGAACAATTTTAAGAAGAAGAAGAAGAAGAAGATAAAAATAAAAACAAAAACAAAAACGAAAAAGAATAAATAAAAAGTTTTCGATATAAAAATAAGAAGAAAAACAGAAAAAGATCTAATTTTAGTGATATGAAATAAATGGTGTACCATATAAAAGTGTATGAGAGGAGAGAGAGAGGAGAGAGAGAACTATCGCAATACAAACCAATACTATTGGAAATTTTCATCGTTCGTTCTCTCTCGTTCGTATTTATTAATGATTATTTATTACGTCAAATACAAATTATTTAATCATCATCTTACTGTTAGATGATTACTATAACATTCGTGGAATTAATCGACATCTGTCTCTTATTAAGAAAAAGAAGTGAGAGGGACAGAAAGAAAAAAAACAAAAATTATTCTTTAAATTAAGATTAATACGGGAGGATATAATTTTTCTTCGTTAATCCTTCTTCTGCATTATTATCGGAATATGCCTGGTATCGTAAACACGATTTTCGAAGAGGTAATTTTTCATATTTTTGTAATTTTTTTCTTTTCATATGTTAGATTAACGCGTCCTTCGAAATTTGTCGATAAAATTTTTCAACGTAATTCTTTGCGTTATCACAAATACCATCTATTTTGAATAATATATGAGCCGTTCAGTGCACACATCGATTAACTCCACTTTTTAAAAAATCTTAAATTTAAGTGTCAAAGCACTCGGTATAGTCATAACTTTTTATATTTATAATAACTTTCCTGAATAATAAAGATTAACACCATTAAACAGCAAAATTTTTTTGGCCATTGAAAGGAATTTAAAGAACAATATACATTATTTCATCGCATTTCTCAACTTTTTGTTTTATAGAGTTAATCGATGTGTGCACTGAACGGCTCATATACACATATATAATGGGTGGGTCAAAAAATCAATTATTTTATTTTTTACAAGTGACACGGAAAAATGGGTTGCTAGACACCTTAACAAAATTCTCGCCAAATATGAGCTCTTAATTTTAATAGGAAGATCCTACGCATCGCAGTTTCTTATTTTTTTTTCAGTCCAATAGAATAAAATTCATACTTCATCATTAATTGATTGTACAGAAAAATATTTTAGAAAAATTTTGTAGGAAATTGAATGCTCTACAAAAAAGGTATCTTATATTTTTCCCGTAAACCTCACCATTTGAATGATATTGAAGATTTAAGTTTGATTATTTTAAGACAAATTTTTGTAGGAAATCAACTGCTCTATAAAAATGGTGTCTTATGTTTTGGCGATTAAATTAAGCGTTCAAAAGTTATTCATAAACAGAAATCAGTACACATGAAAGTTTGATGATGAATATCTTTTGAACGCCTAATTTAATCGCCAAAACATAAGACACCATTTTTATAGAGCAGTTAATTTCCTACAAAAATTTGTATTGCGCATTTTATAATAGTCATTTATAGTTGAATTATAAAATTCATAAAACAAAATGAAATTAGTCTTAAAATAATCAAACTTAAATCTTCAATATCATTCAAATAGTGAAGTTTACGGAAAAAAATATAAGATACCTTTTTTGTAGAGCATTCAATTTCCTACAATATTCTTTCAAAACATTTTTCTGTACAATCAATTAATGATGAGGTATGAATTTTATTCTATTGGACTGAGAAAAAAATAAAAAACTGCGATGCGGAGGATCTTCCTATTAAAATTAAGAGCTCATATTTGGTGAGAATTTTGTTAAGGTGTCTAGCAACCCATTTTTCCGTGGCACTTGTAAAAAAAAAAATAATTGATTTTTTTGACCCACCCTAATATATATATTAATTCGCGTATTTCAAATTTTTGATATAGAGTAATAACGAGGTCGAGAATCTAGAAAATGGCAGCAAAAATACGAAACCTTACGAAAAAGAGGAAGAGGTAAGTACGATAATATGTGCTTTTGTTTTCTCAACATCGATCGAGTATGTGTGTATACTAATATCGATTATGATCTATTGTTCAATATCAAACGTTTACGATACACTTTTTATTCTTGTATTCGTAAAGAATGATTTGCATAGTACAATTATACGTAAAATGTTTATAAACAAATGATAAAATAAAGTTATAAAACGGTTTTACGAATAGAACCGAAGATTCAATTTTTACAGTGGGTACAAAAAAAATATTTATTCACTTTATTTTACTGCAATTCCGTATTACGTTACCGACGAATTAATAATTTTTTTCCATCGTAAAATACTTTTTTTTACCCATTGTGTTTCTAAAAATATCTTTACAAATATTTGCAATTACTTTTTCATTCATTTCCATTAGCATATACACACCTATACAAATCTATATTGTTTTCTAATTATATTTATCGAAATTTAAGCAATATTCTGATGTGATAAAATGATAAAATACTTAGAAGATTTGTCTCATTAAATCTGTGTAACAAAAGTGTATTTTAATAGAATACATAAAATTCTCTTGGTCTATCTCTATCCTATACAGGAGGACAATGAATCCCGAAAGAAATTTGACTTACTCGTGACGATGCGTAATGCCATGGAGGCGTACTTTTCAAAGCATCGAAGAATCTTCAAGTTTCTAGGCTTGGTACTGTTAAATATTCTCGTAGTGGTGTACTTTGTCTTTGCCACCAACTATTGGGCCAATACCAAAGAATGTATGACACTAAACGTATTTCCGATCATCAACCGAATAATACTCCATTCATATTAAAAATCCATTTTCGTATAAAAATTTGCAATCAAATGAAATTAATCATTCGTCTGATACAAACAAATTCGTTTGTTTTTATTTTTTTAGCAAGCGATTGTGGTTTTTGTTGGTGCACCGGTTATGGAATGCTCTTGTTACTCCTGTGTTTTACTTATGGCGGATTATTTTATTACATGATAATTAAACGATATTTTGGCAAATTTATTATCCCTTTATTCCGACCGGTTGAAAGAGGCATAGCAAGACTGCAGAAAACAAGGTAACAAATACGTAGATAAATCTTTAATTTTATTTATCTTTCATTTAATATCTTTGTGTTGACATATTAAACCGTAGGAAAACTTCAGTTCATATTTGAATTTTTCAATTCATCGTTGACATATATATGTCGATTATGATGACAGTGAATTGATGTAAGTTAAAAAAATGGAAAAAAATATTCATTTATTTTATATAACAATTATTTGGATTAAAAAATAAATCATAAGATCACAATTTTATTTAATTTGTTGACTTAATCGACTGTCATATAGTTATTGGCATACGTGTGTAACGTCAAACTTTCAAAACAAAATTGAAATCACGGACACACGTGTCAGTGGTAACGAACGTGTTAAAAAAAAAAATAAAAGAAAGAATTCGATCAAAATAATACGATTTATCACAGGTACGGATCTCGAATATTCGGAACAGTGATATACTTGATGATACTCATAGCTATCGTTGTTTTTCTCATCTTTGATACAATTCATTCGACGGAAAGACTGATCAGTGGCTTTGGTGTTATAGTCCTATTGCTTTTAGGATGGCTATTCTCAAAACATCCAGCACACGTAAATAAACCGTTCAAAATCAAAATACTTTTAGTGATGGAAATTAATTGAAAAATGTCTTTTCGTGTTTACATAGATTAATTGGAAGCCCGTTTTGTCCGGCATGATACTGCAATTTTTATTTGGTTTATTAACCATTCGTTGGACCGTTGGCCGAGCCATTTTTGAATGCATTGCGAATAAAATTACTACTTTTATGAATTACTCGAAAGAAGGTGATGCATTTATTTTCTCTGAGGAACTCGTCGAAAAAGGAATCTTTGCTTTTTCAGTTAGTTTTTATTGCATATTTTTTGTATGGTTTATATTTAATTGAATCCTAGTACGAATTGTTACGTGGACATTTGAATTTTCTTTAAGGTTCTTCCGGTTATCTTTTTCTTCAGTTCTTTCATTCAAATATTGTATTACATTGGAGTAATGGGGTGGGTAGTTATGAAATTTGGATGGGGTTTGCAATTTATCATGGGAACCACTATATGCGAATCTTTGAACAGCGCAGCGAATACGTTCATTGGAATGGTATTATCTTTTGCTTAATTATTTTTACATTTATTTATTATATTTACATTATTTAAATGCCACGTCGATGTTATTTAATCGTTGATTTGTTTCCAGACGGAATCCCTTTTATTGATAAAACCGTACATAAATAAACTGACCTCTTCGGAAATTCATGCCATTATGTGTGCTGGCCTAGCCTCGGTTTCGGGTAAATCGAATGTTAAACAAAAACAAAAAAATAATAATTTTCTTTTCGAAAGAACAAATTTCATAGACTTTTTATTTGATTGCTCATAGGTAGTGTTTTTGCCGCGTACGTCAATTTTGGTGCTGATCCGGCGCATTTGTTGATAGCATCGGTAATGTCAGCTCCGGCTGCACTTTGTTATGCCAAATTATTTTATCCCGAAACGGAAAAAAGTCTGACTAATTTGGACAACATTAAATTGGAAAAATCGTAAGATCGAAATTAAATTATATATCATTTTAATGTCGTAATCGTTGATGTTAATGTATAAAAAAAAACAAGAAATCATTTTTAGAGATGATTCGGGAATTATGGAAGCTGCGAGTAATGGAGCACTGGCAGCAATTCCTATAATACTTGGTATAATAGCTAACATGATAGCTTTTATATCTATCGTAGCCTTCATCAATGGTTTTCTCTTCTGGTTGGGTGAACTTTTGGGATTTTCCAATTGGACGTTTGAGGTAATAAAAAAATATTTTTAAATATTATCTCATATTGTTGTTCATAAAAAATGATTAAACGCATTTTATTTTTTAGTATCTCTTATCAATGATTTTTATGCCATTAAGTTGGATCATGGGTGTACCATGGAATGACTGTGAAAAAGTTGGATATTTAATAGGATTGAAGACTGTCGTTAATGAATTTATTGCTTATAAAGAACTTGGAAAATACAAAAAATTAAATGCAATTTCAAAAAGATCGGAAACGATCGCGACCTATGCCATTTGTGGATTCTCTAATCCCTCAGCAGTCGGTATCATGATGGGTGCTTTGTGTAGTATAGCACCAAATAAAAAAAAACAGATCGCTCCTGTTGCCATCAGAGCATTAATCTCTGGTAGTGCCGTTTGTTTTCTCACAGCATCGGTTGCCGGTAAAAGACTTTTTTATGATAATTATTGTATTGTTTTGTGTTATTTATATTCATTTATTTATTTTTTATATATACCAATTGAACAATAGTTTCATACTTATTAGTTCAGTTTAATTATTGCATTTATTTCCCACAATAATAATACTCTCTTTTTAATATTTATTTATTTATTTCTTAGGTATGCTGATAGAGGATAATAGTCACGTGAATGCGAACAATGTGATCTCAAATTATACTCTTGAATATTAAGAAGAAATCTTCTTATGCGACTTAAAGATAGGCCAAATTATTCTGTCATTTATTCCTTTCAGTTAAAAGAAGGATATTGTAAATAACTTTTTGAAGCATTTATAAATGAAAAATGACAGCGCAATATTGTAATCCATTTACCATATACATTTTTAACTATAGAGAAAATACTGTTGTATAAATGTTCATTCATTTTATAAATACTATACATGACGTAATTACTTAGAAAAGAGAAGTCATTCAAGTTTTTCCTGTTATCAAAATGCATTAAAGGAATGTTCTATTTTTTCGAAGTAAGATATGCCATAGTTTAAAAAAAGATGTCCGCAGGGTGTAACGCCCGTTTGTACATTTTCAGTAAATATAATTATAAATTCTATATATTTTATATATATATATATAGCGTAAATATCACACAAATTGAACATACTTGTATATAGTGCTCTACTATGTTCTTTCACGTATTAAGTAATTTAATAAATCTACTTTAAAGTATTATTTGTTACTTCGCTTGAATAATTTAAGATAACTAAACAAATAGACGTTAATCGATTATCAAAATTAAATAATTTGAAAAATAATCTCTGAAAATCTATTATACAGATATTTCGTGCTATAAAACAAAATTTTTAAAATAAATAAGAACTATCCTCGTATCGCGAATAATTATGCTGGCAATTATTAGCGACATAGCCGGAGAAACAGCCTGATACAATAGCTTGAATACTATCGATCACTTATTATCATACATTTTTATACGTGCTCAAACTTCTGATGCTGATATAAAGACATCCATATAATCGCAATACCTTATTTTGTTTATGGTAAGGTGTGCAATTGATGCAGTTCGTACAAAGTATGAGTACGATTGAATACATCTGCAGTGACTTCAAGCATTTTTGGTAGAATATCTACATTTCGCTGTACATTGGCACCGCAAACCTGTTCATTATTAGTTGAGATTTTGTCACTAATTGTCAATATGATGATCTATGTATTATATTTCATACCTTCTTAAATAATATTTCTCTAGTAGGCATGGTATACATTGCTACTATCGCAGCTTTACGTATTACCCATGGATGATGTTTCGCTAAGGTTTTGTTGTACGCATCTTGGCAGCATGTAGATGTTTTATCGGTGTCACTTAACTCCCCCAGTTGTCGTAGAAATTCTCTTATAAAATCTAAAAGCATAAGATATTAATAAAAAGATAACATTAGATGCACAACAGATATCAGCAATGTGAATATTATTCCTCTTATTATTATTATAACATACCTAAGCCTCTATGAAGTCGTAGCAGAGTACGCGCTCCATTAACATTATCTGATTTTTCGATGAGTTTATTTTCTTTTTCGTGCTCTAACATAGACTTAATGGTAACATAATTCTGATCATTTTTATTTAATAAGTCAACGAGAATATCAATCTTTTGCTTTAAATCAGAAGAAACAAAACTGAATACACTGCCCATAAGTTGGAAAAATCTACAGACATACATAAATGTACATATGTTTAATAGGTTATGTTTACTACAAGAAGCAAATAAAAGAATATAAACATTATTAAATAGGGATACTTACTTGTATAGTTCATTATAGGCATCCAAATATGCTTTAATATCAACATCGTCGTCTTGCACTAAAGCTTTATCAAAATTATCATGTACAATCCTTAAATCAAAGTAACACAATTCCGAACCTTCCGCCATTTTTTTAATTTAATGCATTGAACGTTGACCGATGAATACGTGGAATAAAATCATGTGGATAAATCACGTTATCTTCTTTTCTTTAACATAACAAAAGCAAAACTTTTATCACTTTTTATTCACTCGTGACAGTAACTTATAGATATGTCGTCTAAAGCCTTTCTGCATGACACATGCTCCCAGAGTACACTTTAAATGGCGCGAAATTCAAGTGGCGATAAAGTTCGAATTATTGTCTTATATTCACAGATTTCTAAATAATTTATAAAAATATTTTTGAAAATAATTAAAATAAATAAGATCTTTAAATAAAATAACAAGAGATCTTATTTATATTATTTTATAAACTATAAAATATTATATATACATTTATTATATATATATATATATATATATATATATATATATTATAAGGAAAAAAAGTATAAAAAATTAGGTAAAGTTTTTATTAAAGTCTTTTCTAATTACTTGCTATACTTTTAACTGATGTTCTACTTACTAAACTATTGTTTAAAAAATATAAGTAAATAAATATGCATAGGAGTGTTTTTTCCGATGTACATATTTGGTAAGCCATTTTGAATCCAAACTGTTGAATACATCATAGCTCGATTCGTTTTCTGTTTTTGATAAAAATACTTACTGACAGTTAGATTTTGTTAGATAGAGCTAAATGAAATTGATGGAAAACTTAAGGGGTTATTCTGGTCTAGAAGCCTAAATTTTAAGCATTTCTCAAACTAAGATAAAAAAAAATGAAAAACATTTTTATTATACATTTTTTTATATGATGCTTATTAACATTTTAAGAATACAAAAAAAAAATCGTGAAAAAAAATAAAAAATTCCTAGAAATGCAGGCCGATGAAGTGAGTGCTACAAAAAAAACGGTGCACTCTGGTTGACATGATTCCAACCCTTGTAATGATCTGAAACACAAAAATTTGGAAAATTCTTAATCAGTAAAGATATCGCTATCGGGTGACCCTAAGCCAAAAAAAAAATTCATAAAATGGCTTCGATATGAAAAAAAAATTTGTTTTGACCCCTTTTTCTTGACCTTCTCGATTTTTTTAAAATACTAAAAATTAAAATTTTTTAAAATTCAAGGGTCATCCGATAGAGAGATGTATAAATAAGATTCCCACCAAATTTCAAAGGAGTCGGTAGAGTAGAACTTGACATATCATGTCAACCACCTCGAAAAAAGTATAATAGTTTTGAGAAAAACGCGTTGAAAGTTTCGCGTAATAAAGGTAGGATATAGGAATGCTTGTCACTAAAACAGGTATATCTTCGAAAATAATTACAATTTTGAAAAATCTTTTTAAGGACATATTCTTAAAAGGTTAAACTTTGAAAATATATATATATATATAAAAATCGATTTTTTCAAATTTCTAGACCAGAATACCCCTTTAATACGTGTGATAAATGTGATAAATTGATAGGAAAATTCAAAAGAACTGCTTTTATCGGTAAAAATGATCTTGCTAATGTTCGGTGGATGTGATCCATGAATGCACACCATATACTAATCACTTAAAACTTATGTAAATCAATATAAATAATAAAAATAGTTGAAAATAAATGATTATTATTTAAAATTCAGTAGCACGAATTCATCTGATTACTTATGGTTTATATTAAACTTCATTCACATATCTTTCGATTCATTCACATACTTTTCAATTCTTCCTTAAAGTGAATCAACTATCCCAATAACTTTTCTTCTTATAGACGACTAATAGTCACCATAATCACACAAATGCAAGATATCAACACCTTCAACTCGTATAGCACTTCAATCACGGCAAAAGTAAGGTTCTCAATTAAGAATAATTCACAACTGTAATCGTACGTCGAAAAAATATATGGGTAATCCTTTTGTGAATCTACGCGAGGACGATATCCCTTAAGCTTATATAGATCAGGAAAAGCCCCCATTGGAGGGTATGCTATCGTCCCCACCCCTCGACATAAGTCATCCTAAGTTTTCTTGTTACATCACGCGTTTTACGAGTACATACTTAACGCACATAAGATCCTTAAATTATTATATAGTTACATTACATCGATTTCTAATATTCTTATAATTTTTTAACATTATTTTTCTTTCTAACGTCTAATTTTCAATCTGCTGTCTGCCAACTACAATCCATAGTCTCTTTCCCTGGGTAAATCTATGTCGGATCAATTGCTCTTTGGCACACTCTCGCAATTTCCAAAATATCAAAAGATTCAAATGAATAGTTATTTCTTTTACAATTTTATAATTCGTTACTTTATCTTATTTCCTAAGAATCTACGCCTGGATCTTTTCTGGAAGGTTCTATGTGGTCCCTATCAGTCACAGTTATCTATTGTTATTTCCTGTGAATCGCATAGCCGTCATCCACCTTGCATTCAGATCCCATATAGACAGGTTCATATAATCGTCATTCCTAATAATTACCCGATGAGTTTTAAAATATTGTCGCCAATCTATCTACAGGATCATTCGATCCACACACAGGCGACGGTACTGTTCTCTCTTTATACAATGACAAATATTAAATATGAATCCCCTTTAAACTAACTGCGCCCTTATGCCCATGTGCCACTAGGATCTCAAATTTCCCGACTCAATCACCTAGCCCTGCTTTAATGTTTGATATTTTTTTTGTTAATCTGATACATTTCGGAGATCTTTGAGAGCGAGTCCTACTCATTTCTCATTAATTTCTTGTTAATAGATTAAATGTGAATAAATTTATTAAATTTTTTATTTAGGTACGCTCTAAGTTTTCTATATCTTATACTTGATACTTCCTTTGATAAACTTAAATATCTCAAAGATTCACAAGTATGAGTCTTATTCATTTCCTGTTAATAGATAAATTGGTATGTTCAGTTAATTTCATATTTATTTTTTGTTTCACTCGGGCCCCACAATTGCCCCCCTTATTTTATATATCTATCACTAAAAGAGAGTTTCTCATTACTTTTATATAAACTACTGAGATATTGTCGTTTTTAACTAAATTTATACTACTGTAGAAAAAATATTACGGAAAAACGTGGCGGGACATCACAATATAATATCTCTGTATTGTCATAAAAATCCATATTATCTTAGTGTGACGTTGTGAAATCTAAAGAAAGAATAGTGAAATCTCGAGGCTGACACATCGGTGCGCATAGGTAAGCGGTGTCCCTGGGGGCGTTAAATAATTCACCGCAGCTGGGACCGAGGGTTGGATGAGAGTCGGAGGTTGTGCGAAGGAGGTGGAGGTTGAAGGACCGATCAAATATTCACATGTCCCTCAACGCGAATAGAGCTAACATAAGCCAAGCCAAGTCAAGTCAAGCCAAGCAAGCCAAGCAAGCCAAGCAAAGCCAAGTTACGTCGAGAGTCAAGAAATATAACCTACAAAAGAAAGAGAGAGAAAAGGAGAGAAGTAAAAACGCTTGGTAAAGAAGAGAACTGCATTCGCCTATCGCCTCCAACTAAGCAACCAAGCAACTTCGACCTTGTTTCTCCGAAGAAAATTTCGTCACGAGATAAGTTAACGTCGAGTAACCAGAATGGCATACACGTTGGGCACGTCTTTTTTACGCAGAAAGGCACATTTTTGTAGAAGTGATCTCATGGGGACAGAGTTCAACGACCAATCATGCGTAGAACTTAACTGTGTCACATAAAAATGTGTCGCTTGGGTGTCGTAATAACACTTATCTAGAATTATCGATAAGAATAGAATTCGATTTGTATTTCTCATAAGTATTACACACATATGCACATGCATACATATATGTATATACAAATACACACATACATGATCTTATAAAACTTATTGACTCTTATCTACCTTATCATTTTCCTTCCCTTTCTTTTCTTTTTATAGTGAAAATAAAACAACAGAATTTCCCTAAAATATCGAACTTGGTCGAGCCGAAGATAACGAACGGTATTATCTCACGTTACATTGTAATTCCATCGTTGGTACCCTTTCTTTCTTCCCATTTCATCGTTCTTCCCCTTCCTCTTTTTCTTCTTCTTCTTCTTCTTCTTCTTCAGCCCTATTCTCATGTCTTTTAAAAGGGAAGTCGATATTCGAACAAGAGGAAAAGTAAAAGACGATTCCAAGTTGGGGGAGAAAAAGATCGAGACGAAGAATTGGTCAACGAGGCGTGCTTGTCTTCTAATCATCATTCTAATTATCTTGGAAACTCAATCCACGAGGCACGTCAAGGTGAAGCCTTGGCTTCCTGCTGTTCGATTTTCTCTTAAACTTATTTCTCTCTCTCTCTCTCTCTCTCTTCGACTTTCTCGAACACGCCAGACAAGTTTCTTCCCCTTTCTGTACTTTAACTGTGTCTCTATTTCCATCACTATTTCACTATTTCTACTATCTTCATCTCTGTTACTTGCTTCTATTATTCCTACAATTTTCTTCTCTCTCTCTTTCTCTATCTCTCTAGCTCCGTCTCTTTCTATTTCTTCATGTCTCACTCACACATCATCAAACTCTCTCGGAGTCAATTCTATCTCTCAAGTCTCTTCCTCTTTTCTTCCGAAACGACGTCTAACTGTGGGATTGTCGACGACCGCCCATCTAAGTTTAACAATTAACGACCAACTTCGGAAAAATAAATTAATTCCAGGCTTGCTATACGAAAGCGTCACGAACACTCTCTTCTTCTTCTTCTTATTACTACTCGGTTAAGAGATGATGAACGATTTTCTATCATTTCTTTTCATTCTTTGTCATTATCAACAAAAAATATCGACAATTTATTTTACGGTTCGTACAATTTTTTTTTTTTTTTTATAAACATGAGATATTTTATAACTCTCGTGTACCATTCGGTAACTTCGTTAAATTTCAAAAATGAATTGTAAAATATTTCATAATTTATCGTTATATTTGTTTTTAAACGAGCGATTGGTCGTTCAATTTTTGTGCAGAAAATCGTATAGAGAATATGATTCGATATTTACAATATAAAATATGGGTGCACGATTTATGTGCTAGAATGAATGGAAAAAATAAAATAAAGAAATATTACTCTAATAATTGTCAAAACTAACTGTATACCTAATAAATATTAATGAATATTATTTTTGATCACGTTCGTTTAAATTGTATTTTTAGATAAGACTTAGATCCCAGATTCCATAG